CATTCATGATGCAATGTAGCCACTTTAGGGGAGGAGCCAGAAATACGTGCATAGTAGGGGAACTACAAAGGTTTCTGGATTTGAACTTTGACACTAGAAACTTTTGCAGTTGCCCTTCCAAGACCATGCGCGAGTTTCTGGGTCCATCCTCTAAAGAATTATCCTTGGTTGACTATTTTCTAGACGCCCTTCCCTCCTTGCATGGAGGGGGATTGTTTTTTTCTGTGAGAAATAAAGACAAAGGACACCTTATTCAAATTTTCTGTGTGAATTTATTCTAGGGGACCCCTATTCATGTTTTTCTTAAAAAAAAAAAAAAAAGGCAGCAGTGTTGTGCTAAATATACATTGGCTGGTTGGCGCCCTCTACTGTCTGGGGCGTGTGACTGTCTGTGGCCCAGGTACTATGGTTGATATACCTATTGTTCGGGGAAATCCACTGATGGGTCACTGGCACTCTGCACCACTGGTATCCTGCACTACATAATTAAAATGCATTTCACTTCATTAAACCAGCAAACATTGGCCAAAACAAAGGTCAGAAAGGATTCACTGTTGGCCAACCTAATCTTTGCTGAGTCTGTATGGGGTGTTTCACGGACGTCATCCCCTGTTCGGGCAACCAGGCTGCAAAATTTATGAATGTGTTTTGGAAGTGAATTTTTTTTGAAAAAAAAAATGAGAAAGCTGTTTTGAATTGGACTTTTCTACTTCATCTCCAGTGGAGTCCTGGACCACCAAAATGACAACCACCTCAGCCCAGATGATGACATGCGAATCAGAAAAACACATTCTAACATGGCTGGCTACTTTACAATTTGACTACATTTTGGAGAAAAATTATCCTGAAAAATCCCACTCTCTCAAGACGTTGTTCCACTGAATCAAATGCACTGAGGTGCAGTTCTGGAAGATAATTTTGTTTTGACTTGTGATGGAAGAACCACACAATCTATGAGAATTTCACCGAGTAACATTTCCCAAATTTGTCTGCAATTTTGGTTGTTTTGAGAAACAACTTGAACCCCACAACATTCCATGTTTAGACAGTGTAACTGACAAATAACTGTGCACGATAAGCAGAAAAAAGCTGTGTGGTTCAGTTTTCCTCTTAGGAGATACTGTAGATGACATTGGGTTTGTTAATGGTCTACTCCTATGAAAAATATTCTACATTTATTCCTATCATTTTATATTCCTATCATCATATTATAAATTCAGAGCCACAGAGCAAAATATTGATCCTCGGGATAAACAGACACGTTTCACTGAACTAACTAAATTGTTAACTTTTCATAATCTTCCTTCAACTAAGATTACAATCACTTTAAACACCCTGATGTACAAAATCTAATGAATTCAATCCAATGTGCTTTAGACTTAACCTGAAGCATTGGTAACACCTGTTAATATTCTGCTTACATTGTTTGACAGCTAAACATGTATCTGATACTGCAAACTCAACAATAAGTTGCACTTTGCCTCTGACCTCCTTAATACTAGAAAAAAGAAACACATTTTCTTTAACTTAAACGAGTGTAATAACACTTAATTAATGACAAGTGAGTGGCATTCCTGGAAATCTGCCCAAATGACTATGTTCAAACATCTCCAATGCTAATGGTCACATACACCTACCTAACTTCCTCTAACAGATATGATTGTTAATATTAAATATAAAGATTCCCTTTAATAGGATAATCTAAGTTTTATCAAATGCTTCCAAAACATTGTTTGTATAAGGTTACTTCTACTTGACTAAAGACTCATTTATTCTACTTTGATTTTAATTTTTTAGAAAGTTTACATTTTGAGGATGCCCCTATCAATTACCTACAAACCCTGATGAAAGTTTATTGTAAATTTAAACTATACATTTTTCCTGACAACATTAACTTATCTGGTTACCAATCTTTGATGTTTCATGCGCATGTTATTTTTATCTTGTATTCGCTGAGGGACAGGTGTTGTCGTTGTTAGTAATGCTGAGTACTCCAATAGACATAAACAAATCATCAATCCTATCATTTGACTATCCTCAGGAAAATTAAACAGTAATAGAAAACCACCTCACCTTGTAGTCCTAATCATAAACTATGAAGTTTAACTCTCTAGAAGAATTTCATTACTATTTGAATCCTGAAACAGAACTCTAATTATTTTTAAAAGGTTTTGAGGTTTACATAAACAGAATTAAACCTTCATTTTATAAACTATCCTATCAAAATTGCTTTTTTGAAATCAAGTTTTACTTGTCCAGTTTGACATAGAAATAACAAAGTACTTCTTTATCTTTCTTAAATTTACTTGTGGTGAACCAAATTAACACTTTTAAACACTACGTTAGATGATCCTTTGTTGCTAACGCAGACCTATCAGTACCATTTCCTACTCACAATAAACTTTTATACTGTCTACTCAGTTTTACTCCTTTCATTAGCAATCCCAATGTCATCTTTGATACCACCTTTAAGAAAACAGTTACCTCCAAAAACAAATGAAACCAAAACTGAAATGATTTTGTAGAAGTTAGGTAAAGTTGAGCAGCCATATTTGAATGTATTCCTCCAAGTCTCACATCAACACCTGAGAAGAAGGCACTATCATTCATCAGGTCTAGAGCCCCCTCAGATCAGAAGCAGATGTCCTCTTTGATAAAGGTTTGGTCATCATGACCTTGCCAAAAAAGCAACCTGTTTACACAGGAACAAAGAGTGACGGGTACCAACTTAGGATAACAAAATGATCGAAAAAATGGTGGAAAAAAGTGCAATGGTCCTCAGTCCGTCACACCAATCCATACAGGGACTCCAAAGACTTAAGTAAGCAACAGGAATCCTTTCTTTCCTNTGACTAAAGACTTTTGTACGTTGAATTTAACTTTTTAGAATGTTTACATTTTGAGGATGCCCCTATCAATTACCTACAAACCCTGATATAAATGTATCGTAAATTTAAGCTCTACAATTTTCCTGACAACATTAACTTATCCGGTTACCAATCTCTCATGTTTCATGAGAATGTTATATTTTATCTTGTATTCGCTGAGGGACAGGAGTTGTCGTTGTTAGTAATGCTGAGTACTCCAATAGACATAAACAAATCATCAATCCTATCATTTGACTATCCTCAGGAAAATTAAACACTTACAGAAAACCACCTCACCTTGTAGTTCTAATCATTAACTACAAAGTTTAACTCTCTAGAAGAATTTCAATACTATTTGAATCCTGAAACAGAAATCTAATTATTTTTAAAAGATTTTGAGATTTCCATAAATAGAACTAAACCTTCGTTTTATAAACTATTTATTTAATTATGTTTTGCTTGTCCAGTTTGACATGGAAATAACGAGGTACTTCTTTATCTTTCTTAAATTTACTTGTGGTGAACCAAATTGACACTTTTAAACACTACAGTAGATGATCCTTTGTTGCTAATGCATACCTACCAGTATCATTTCCTACGCACCATAAACCTTTATACTGTCTACTCAGTTTTACTCCTTTCGTTAGCAATCCCAATGTCATCTTTGATACCACCTTTAAGAATGCAATTACCTCCAAAACAAATAAAACCCAAACTGAAATGATTTTGTAGAAGTTAGGTAAAGTTGAGCAGCCATATTTGAATGTATTTCCTCCAAGTCTCACATCAACACCTAAGAAGAAGCCACTCCCACTCATCAGGTCTAGAGCCCCCTCAGATCAGAAGCAGATGTCCTCTTTGATAAAGGTTTGGTCATCATGACCCTGCTAAAAAAAGCAACCTGTTTACGCAGGAACAAAGAATGACGGGTACCAACTTAGGATAACAAAATGATCAAAAAAATGGTGAAAAAAAGTGCAATGGTCCTCAGTCCGTCACACCAAGCCATACAGGGACCCCAAAGACTTAAGTAAGCAACAAGAATCCTTTCTCTCCTATTCTTGAAAGTTTGAGATTTTGGGTGAAATAGCATGTCGATTATGTGAGGCAGGACACCAGTGGGTTAGAGCACCAGCGACACATACAGTCGATTTCACTAAACAATAGGTATATCAACCACAGTGCCTGGGCCACAGACTGCCACACACCCCAGACAGTAGAGGGCGCCAACCAACAACGTATGTTTAGCACAACACTGCTGCTTGTACATGCATGTAGAATGGGATTTCATAAATACATCTAAAAGACATTTTGGAAACATTTGTTAAGTAAGATAATGTGAGAACCACTCCCTTGACACGAGCCATTTTGAAAACAATTCTGAAAAACAGTTTCAGTAAATACACACTGTTGATGAATAAAACAAATAAATATATGTAAGTTGAACAAATTTTCAAAAACTACACCAAATCATGCATGAACTGCAGAAATGTGGACAATGATTTCTAAATTTCAAGGTTTTAGATTCTACTAAAATTGCTGTACTTAAACAATTTCTGTTTGGAATTTCAAAAAGTGATTGCCTTGGGGTCTGTGTCTCAGATTCAATTTGTGGGAGTGATTCTCATCAATATGCAATAACAAACATCCAAAGGTATGGTTCAAAACATCAAGCATCATCAATTTGTAGCTGATCAGAACACAGCTCTTAGAGCTGGAATCGTACGCGCAATCAGCAAACCCAAGTTGATCTGTTTGAGACTTTAATGCAATGGTTTTGACATTGTCTTTGAGTCAATGAAATGGCTAAATTAATAAGCAGTGCGCATCTGTGTTAAAATGTACCCAAAAAAGTCACTGTTCTATAAATTCTGATATTTCAAAATTCCAGATTTTTAAAAAGGAAAACTTATAAAAATGTCTTATAAATGTCATAATATGTTCTTAATATGTTCTTAGAAACATACTACTATTGTAGCACTTGAAATCTTGAACCATACCTTTGATCATATCCCTCGAGATGGATCCATGGGGATGTGTTTGGAAAATCCACAAATGGGAAAGACAAAAAAAGCAAACTTACACACCAGAAATGGATAATCATCATATCCTCACACACAGGAGGGACAAAGTTGGACACATCTGTACATCAGGGAAGGGGCAAAGTTGGACACATCCCCACACCAGGGGAGGGACAAAGTTGGACACATCCCCACACCAGGGCAAGGACAAAGTTGGACACATCCCCACACCAGGGCAGGGACAAAGTTGGACACATCCCCACACCAGGGGAGNTTGTACTTAAACAATTTCTGTTTGGAATTTTGAAAAGTGTTTGTCTTGGGGTCTGTGTCTGAGATTCAATTTGTGGGAGTGATTCTCATCAATATGCAATAACAAACATCCAAAGGTATGGTTCAAAACATCAAGCATCATCAATTTGTAGCTGATCAGAACACAGCTCTTAGAGCTGGAATCTTATGCGCAATCAGCAAACCGACTTAAATGCAATGGTTTTGACATTGTCTTCAAGTCAATGAAATGGCTAAATTAATAAGCAGTGCACATCTGTGTTTAAAATGTACCCAAAAAGTCACTGTTCTCTAAATTCTGAGATTTCAAAATTCAAACTTTTCAAAAAGGAAAACTTATAAAAACATCTTATAAATGTAAAAATATGTTCTTAGAAATCTTTACTATAATCGCAACACTTGAATTCTTGAACCATACCTTTGATCATATCCCTCGAGATGGATCCATGGGGATGTGTTTGGAAAATCCACAAACGGGAAAGACAAAAAAAGCAAACTTACACACCAGAAATGGATAATCATCATATCCTTACACACAGGAGGGACAAAGTTGGAAACATCTGTACATCAAGGAAGGGACAAAGTTGGAAACATCCCCACTCCAGGGGAGGGACAAAGTTGGAAACATCCCCACACCTGGGCAGGGACAAAGTCCGAAGCATCCCCACACCAGGGCAGGGACAAAGTTGGACACATCCCCACACCAGGGCAGGGGCAAAGTCCGAAGCATCCCAACTCCAGGGCAGGGACAAAGTTGGACACATCCCCACACCAGGGCAGGGACAAAGTTGGACACATCCCCACACCAGGGCAGGGACAAAGTTGGAAGCATCCCCACACCAGGGGAGGGACAAAGTTGGATACATCCCTAAATCAGGGAAGGACCAAAGTTGGACACATCCCCAAACCAGGGCTGGGACAAAGTCGGAAGCATCCGCACACCAGGGCAGGGACAAAGTTGGACACATCCCCACACCAGGGCAGGGACAGAGTTGGAAACATCCCCAA